AGACATGGAGAGACCCGACGGCACCGTGCTCCGTGGCGCTCGGCGACGAACGCGGTCGAGTTCCCACCGGAGTTGAAGTGTCAGAAGGAGCCAATCACAGCGCGTGACGTTTGCCTGGGATCGATGCCATTGGCTACGCGAGACGGGCCGGCAATGGAGCACTGCCCCATTTTGCCAGTGACACCACGCGACACGATGGTTGCTCCCCGCCGCCGGCCGCCCGTGCTGACGCTCCTCCTCGACAACTACGACTCGTACACGTACAACCTGTACCAGATGCTCGCGCAGGTGAACGGCCTCGCGCCCGTCGTCCTGCGCAACGACGCCTTCAACGGCGTCTGGGCCGACGCGTGGGCGTTCTTCCTCACGCAGGTCCCACCCCACGCCGCGATCAACATTGTGCTCTCGCCGGGTCCCGGCCATCCGGCCAAGGTGGGCGACTTTGGTCTCTGCCGCGCTGCAATTGTCGACGCGCCTGCCGAGGTGCCGCTGCTGGGCGTGTGCCTCGGACACCAAGGCCTCGCCCATGCGTATGGCGGCGACGTGCGCCACGCGCCCAAGGTCATGCACGGTATCACGAGCTCCATTGATGTGACGCCGCTCGGGCGAGACGGGCTCTTCTTTGGCACTGCGCCCACCTTTGACGTTGTCCGGTACCATTCTCTGCTCGTGACGTCGCTGCCCGAGTGTCTCGTGGTCACAGCTTCGACAGCCGAGGACGGGCTCATCATGGCGCTGCAGCACAAGGAGCGACCGCAGTACGGTGTCCAGTTCCACCCCGAGTCGGTCTGCAGCGAGTTTGGCTACCAACTGCTCCAGAACTTCGCCGATCTCTCGAGCAAGACGCCGCTGAGCATGTGCACGCTGGCGCACACCGCGACCGCGCCAGCGACGCTCGCTGCGACGCCAGCGGCCAAGCCTGCAGCTGCCTACCACCTGCATGTCACGGGTCTCGGCGCACTGCATCTCGACGGCGACGCTATCTTTGACGCGATTTACGCCGCAGCAACCCACGCCTTTTGGCTTGACAGCAGCAACGGCGCGCGCTACTCGTACTTGGGCGACGCGTCTGGTCCTCTCAGCCAGCTGGTCACGTACAATGTCGTGACCGATGCCACGCACGTCAACGGCGCGGCGATCGCGGCGCCCCTGTTGCCGTATCTGCAGTCGCAACTCGACCGGTATCGCGTGACGTCCGAGCCGTCACCGTTCGCCTTTTGCGGTGGTTTTGTGGGCTTTTTTGGCTACGAAGTGCTGCATTGCCGCGGTGAGAAGAAGAGTGCGCACGTCCTCGCCCATCGCCAAAGCGAGGGCTCCACGGTGCCGGACGCCGCCTTCCTCTTTGCCGATCGGTTCCTTGTGCTTGATCATGTGACGGGCGATGTGTACGTGGCGGCCCTCGATGACGCCGTGTCGCCGACGCCAGCGACAACGGCGTGGGTCCAATCGATCGCCGCCCGCGTGCGCGACATTGCGTCGACACCGGCCGTGTCACCGCCGTCGACCACGGTCGTGTCGGACCCGATCACGATGCGCCCGAGCCGGTGCCGTCGTCAGTACGAGCAAGACATTGCGGATGTTCTGGCCGCGATCCACGACGGCGAGACGTACGAAGTGTGCTTGACCAACCAGCTGATTGCCGAGCTCGCGCTCCCGGATACGCTCGCCTTTTACAAAACACTGCGGACGCTCAACCCGGCGCCGTTCGCCGCGTACCTCAAGCACCCGGACTTTGCGATTTGCTCGTCGTCGCCCGAGCGCTTCTTGCATGTAAGCTCGGACGGCCGAATGGAATCCAAGCCCATCAAAGGCACGCGCAAGCGCGACCATACGGACGTCGTTGCCGATGCTGCCATCGCATCGGAGCTGAGCAGCTGCGTCAAGGACCGCGCTGAAAACATGATGATCACGGACCTCGTGCGCAACGACTTTGGCGTTGTCGCAGCGATCGGCAGCGTCCACGTGCCCACGCTCATGCACGTCGAGTCGTATGCGACTGTGCACCAGCTCGTTACAACGGTACTTTCTTTTTGAATTGAAAATTCTCAACAATGGAAACCTCAAAAATCGTAGGTGCGCGGTGCGCTCGCAGACGGCAAGAGTGCGCTCGATGCTGTGCACGCCACGTTTCCTGGTGGCTCCATGACGGGCGCGCCCAAGCAGCGCACGATGGAGCTCATCCGGGACCTCGAAGTGTACCCGCGCGGCGTCTACTCGGGTAGGGCTAGGGCAGGGGTAGGGTTATGTTGATCTCACCGGTTGTAGGCGCATTGGGCTACCTCTCGCTCGACGGTGCGGTCGACCTCAATATTATCATTCGAACGGCCGTTGTGACGAAAGACCGCGTGAGCATTGGCGCGGGCGGCGCGATCGTCGCCATGTCGGATGCTAACGACGAGTACGACGAGATGCTGCTCAAGACGCAGGCGCTTCGGCACGCATTGGCGACGCACACGGGACGCGCGGTGACGGTGGACGTCGAGCACGGCTTTTATGACAAGTAATACACGTTAAATGCATCAGCAATCTCGATTATGTCCTGTGTCCAGCTCCGGAAATAGCGATAAATCAGCCCATGCGACAGGGAAAAAGTCCAGAATGGTTTGTGTGGGAACGTGAGCCAGCTGTCTTATGGTATTATGGTGCCTTTGTGCATGATGAGCGGTTGTTTCTGGGTCAGCTTCTTGTACACAAAGCCTCCACAAGACGGTCCTATGCCCTGGTCGAAGCGCCCACGAGTGTGCCCGACGCACTTGGACAGTGCCGTGCGAAAGCTGCTCCGAGGTCCTTGTCATGGGACTGCGATTCGATTTGGTGGACACTAAACAGCCGGTCGTTGGCTGCTCATCCAACAAACGCGAGCAAGTGGCTGTGGAGGAGGCGCGTCATTTGTCATCAGGCTGCAAGAAGAGCGTCGTTCTTTGCGATTTCTCATTCCACCCATGGAGCTTTAGTTGTATCATATCTCGTTGCATTGATGGGTTGTCGCTGCCGGTAACAGTAGGTACAGTATCCTCCTGCGCGCGTGGACCAACTCTTGCTGTAGCGCACCACATGCCACGGGTTCGAATGCGTTCAACTGGCTCGGGATCGAATGCAGCTCCTCTTGGACGAGTAAACGAAGAGGATCTAGGATTCAGAGAGCCTCGTCATCACCAACCCCACAACAGTGAGAGTACCCTTGGAGATAGGTCCCATCACATGCGACCTAGCTTGTATAATTGCCAAGCGCCACGTCTAAAACAGATGGCGCAAAACAACTGAGCATCGCCCATGGAGTTCCATTTGTCAATTTGCTTGGTCATGGAGATCTTCTGCTGCTTCAACGGGTGCACGCTGGCGCCGACGCCCGGCCAAGCCAAGTGCTCGTTCCACAAGAACCGAGGCATGTGCAGTATCGAAGCCTGTGTCAACCAAGTGTACGCCCGCGGCCTCTGCGTTCGCCACGGTGGCCGTCAACGTTGCTTTTACCACGGCTGCACGACTGCGGCGCGCGTCGATGGCTACTGCAGTCGCCACGCGAAAGCAGTGGTCAGCGACAAGAGCACGACGACAGCTCTATGCACGGAGTCCAAGGATGCATTCCTCGCCTTGGATGTGCTTGGCGACTTGGAGTTCTTGCTGCCCGTGGAGATAGAGACTCCGTTCCGAGGAGACGAGCTCGACGAATCGATCTTGACGTGCTTGATCCAAGAAGATGCATGGGGTCTCGTCATGCTCTGAATCGGTCTTGCCGTAGAAGACGCTAGTGTAGTTATATCGTGCAATATATTAGATATATTTCATCGTTTGGACTATACCACGAGGCGCTAAGACCCGTTCTTGACTCGTGCCAATTGCTCTCATGCCGCAGGAGAGCAAGAGACTCGTGAGTTTCTTGCTGGAGACGGAAGGTGCGACAAAGGAATGGCTCGTCGCTGAAAGAGCTGGCTGGAAGTGATGGTGCGTCCACCTCTCGACGCGCGACAGCAGCTGTCGTTATAAGACTGGTGTCGGTCAATAGGCTTCGACCATGCAAGTGCGAGAGCTGACAGCGTTGAGAGTAGGACGCTCCACGATGCGTCACTGAGCCAGTATGCAGTAGAGTATGTAGGTTTCGTTGAAGCATTCCCCTCATGTCTCGGTCTTGGGAACTTGCGCCAATATTTGCTCGACCGCGTCGTAGACCGTGCTGTATGTTTTCTTGCAACAGATGCTCTTCGTAGACGCGGCTCGGCGCACTGGACAACACGTCAATAGCCCTGCGCAAGACGAATAACGAAGCTACAGGCATGGAGCAACAAATTGAGTGGACTCCAATTCCTCGCCAGGTAGCTGGTGAAACGCCTTCGAAAATCAAATCTCCCGCATGATACACCACGGACAATGATGACCTCATCATGCCAGTAAACTCCAATGAGTAACTCAAAGTTGTTCAACCAGATCATCGGGTGGTGCACCGGGTGGTGAATTCGAACTAACAAACTAGCAGCTGGGCTAGTGGAGCACAAAACAGAGGAGTGAGGAAGAGGAAGAAGGATGGACCACACAAAGGCGCACGAGACGTGCGCAGTCGGGCGGCGGAATCGAAGTGAAGCCCCAAAGGCTCCAAGTGACCCGACCCGTGATATCGTATATTACGAGAGGGGCACACTAGCTGCGACACAAACTCCTACAGTAGCAAAACCCTCATACTTGATATGAGGGGAAAAAGCCCACTGACGGTGGAAACAGCCAATGACGTGGCAGAGGCTGGAGAAAACCACCGAAAAACCAACGAAGAGTCGGATGTCTTCGAGTCGGCGATCCCAACGTTTGCAGTTGCGATCTTGACACGAACCACAATCCGGCACAAGGTTAGCGTGTCACGCCCTCCTGAATACCGATGGTATTGACCAGCCCACCAGGACTTGCTGCCGAGAGACGCACGATGGCGTTTCATACTACATCCCAGGGTAGTCTAAATCTCCAAAACTCCAGCGAAAAAGACGGGATCGACCATCGTATGCACAGCCAGCGCCTTGGATTTGAAATCCAGTGTCCTCGGTGATGTGTAGCGTGAGTATCTATCCCGTAGGCTGGGCAAGTATTCCGTATTGGGTTCACCCGAGGCCTCGTAAACCGCCAACGGGCCACCACCAACGTTAGACTGTAGTTTTGCATAGATCCAAAAGACGGTTGTCCGCGTCGATACCTCCGAGCGTTGGTTTCGATTTGAATCTGCGACCGCATCCGATTGTGACACATTTTTGGAGTACGCAACTAGTACAACGCGCCGATGACAAGGCACGTACCCTCGACACGCCGTAGCAT